TGAAAAAGAACTCCATGGCTGAGTGGGCCTTACCTGGTAAAATAAAAAAAACATAGTTCATAGATTAGTTTCTATTTCTGCCACGGTCTCGGTCTGACCGATGACAGCTGTCGAATTCCGGTTAAGTCTGTTGCTGTGGATTTCATGTGGTCCTTCTCCTCGTCTGATCGACTGAAGCAGTCAGACAAGTTATGTTAAGTGGGTTTGGGCTGGACAAGTCTCTAGCTCTAGACGGCACGAGAGCAGATGTCTATAATAATTACAGAGGCAGCCCAAGAAGCGGAACGCGTCCGAGAGAGATCGTCCGATGAGGAGACGGAACGATGGGATCAGTTTGCGTGCACGGCCGCTACGTGGGACGATGCAAACACAGGGACACGAGAGTTGGTGGCGGTTATGGGGGAGGGGGGTTTGGAGGCCTTCATCCAGCAGTGGATTGACCACGCGTGTCAAACCGTGCGTCCAAGAAGACCCGACCGTTCACCGTTCATGCGAATTTGGCGCCCCATGTTACATCGCGACGAGAAAAGTCCATTCGGGAATAGACTCTTCCCCCCCCCAACTGCTGGGGAACGTCGTGGCGAGTGAGCACGGGGCGGCAGCTGCACCGGCCAGCGACGATCGCCTCCACCACCGCGGCCGACGACCGGCGCCCCGGTCAAGCGGCGACGCTCGCGCTCCGTTCGAGTCGCCGGGGCTGGCCGAGCGGGCGTCCGCCACCACGGACCAGCGCGTGGATCTCACTCACCGAAGCTCTCATTTTGCAACAGTCTGGCCCCCCTTTGTCTCTTCTGCCTAAAGAAGGGCCCCTCCCCCCTTCAAGTCGCATGCGTTTTTGGTCCCGCCCTGGAAACAAAAACCGCACGCGTGCAATAACAGAATTCGGGTAGATGGTGATGTGCCGTCGTCATCGGCAACGGTCGGTCGAACCGCTGCCGCATCAGAATGTTGTTTTTTTTTTCGACCGGAGGAATACGATGAGCTTACGACGCTCGTTTTCACAGACGCCTCCGCGACGCGACGATCCCGTCCGGCCACGAGCCACGGCCGTACGAGCCGATCCGACCGCTCCATCTCCGCGGTGGGCGCGGCTTTCCCTTCGGCTGCCGCTCGGTAGTTACCCTTGCCCGCCTCGGCCGCTCTTCTCTGGTGGTGCAGTTGTTGTTGTTGTTTTGGTGTTGTTTTGTTGTTCGTCGGATTTTCTCATTCTCCAGCGTTCGGAGCCGAACATCAGTGTCGGCACAACTGCAGTTTCATTACAGCATCACTTTTGCTTTTGTGTAAAAACCAGTGCCATGTAAATGTATAAATTCACCACTTCATCCTCGGTCGTATACATTTTTAGCCACGTGTTAAAGTGTGGACTCCGAAGCGATTGCTTTCATGAAAAAAAAATCACAACACAATTGCACATTCATTCATCACTGCCAGGATCTTTAACAACAATGGAGGCGTGGGCGTACGCGACAGCTAAAAATAAAAACCGCGCTCCTGTTCCGCGTCCGGGTTCCACGCTGGTCTCGCCCGCGCGATCCATCATCGATCGCTCCCCGCTCGCGACGCCGCAGGGAGCGCCTCTCTCCTCCCGCGGAGCCGTCGCGCTCGCTGCGCTGTTCTCGGTGACACAGATCGACAATTTGCATCACGCCTCGGCAAGCACGGTCGACGCCGCCGCCGCCGCCGCCGCCACCACCACCACCACCCTAATCCCACTTCCCGGCTCTCACGGCCACTGCACCCGCCCCCAACCACCACCCCCACACCCCCCAGGGCTAGGAGCTGCTCCCCCCACGCGGCCAGACAGATGCGAATTATGGCCCCAGTGCCCTCTGGGTAACGAGGAGTCGTGTTATGGAAATTGCCAGCAAGTCGCTCGCTGCCCGCCTCTTTTTTAGTTCTGCCGCGCGTCGTTCCGCGCGATGTCCGACGTTTTGCTCCACGTGAATTCAAGAACAGACTGGGTTCCATGTTTGCCAAAATTATGTCCCTTCCGCTATTTAAGTCCCGGTTAAGAAATAAACCTTTGATGACTACAACTTTTGAGTCAGACCTTGGTTTTGGGTGTGCTACGTGTCCTGCGAGGGGGCAATATATATTGTTCACTGTTGTCTTGTACGGCGTTGTGAGATGCAATCTTGAAACCACGCCACGAGCGGCACGACCCAGAAAACGCAACGGAGAGCTGAGAATAAAAAAATAATTAATAATTGGGGCCACTGTCGTGCCTGCCGGCTGTGCCCCAAAAACGAACGTTGATAGAAAAGATTCATCTGGGTATCAGATTTATTGTCATTTCGGGAATACTGCGCGCATTATAAATTGCATTCGCATCACTATCGTCATTCTCACCGAATATTTTCTGGGTCGCCGGCCAAACCAGAGATGGGCACCTGACTGGTAGCCGCAGCCATAGTGAGATGCACACTGGATGTGGTGTGTGTCGGGCGCAGACATATATTCCGGGTCACTGACCAGGGACCGATGCGACTGCAATTAAGCCGGGGATGCATCTCATTATAACAAACGGACTCAAAACGCTTCGACGTAGAAGGGGGCGTTTGATCATTTTTTTCACGTGGGCCACATGACTGTACGCTTAATCGCGCGTCGGAAACCGGCAAACGCGCGCGATCCAGGCGTTCGCCTTCAATCAGCGCCCCTGCACGAACATTAATCTGCACAGATAGGCCGGGGGTCAGCCGGGGTCGTTTAGAACACCCCGCGGAAATCATTTACGCCCCAACGCCCGCCTGCCCGCCCTCTCGCTGCCTGCCGCGTCCCACCCACCGCCCTGGGACGGTGCGGCGAACCGGCTACGGCAGCAGCAACGACAACAGCAGCCTGCGGCAAAGCGGCAGCCAGATGGGTGGCAGCAGGACCACCGCCCTCTGCCGCTACCGCCGCCGCCGCGGGTAGCAATCGGCAGATGGGATGCGCAGATCCCACGTGACACTCGGCCCCTGGGGCTGCTGGCACCGCGCCAGGCTCGAGGGGGGCCCTCTTTTAAAGAGGTGGTCCGTGCACGTACGCACGTTGAACTTATTGCGCCTACGATTAGCACGGTTGGCCGCGTTCGGTGCGAAAAGAAGCTCCAACGTACGCACGTACGTATGCGTCCAACCGTGCTGGTCGGAGGTGCGGGACGATGACGACAACGATGATGACGAGAGCTAACGAATCACAGCGCTGTGTCGAGCCACTCGAAAGAAAGGAAAAGGTGCAGCCCTGCGAGGGCTTGCACACATCACTGCTGGCAGTGGGGTGGAAAATGTGAGAGCACCCACACTTTACCCCAGCACCACCACCACCACCCACACTTTACCCCAGCACCACCACCACCACCCACACTTTACCCCACCACCACCACCCACACTTTACCCCACCACCACCATCCACACTTTACCCCAGCACCACCGCCCACACTTTACCCCACTACCACCACCACCACCACCCACACTTTACCCCAGCACCACCACCACCACCCACACTTTACCCCAGCACCACCACCACCACCACCCACACTTTACCCCAGCACCACCACCACCACCCACACTTTACCCCACCACCACCACCACCCACACTTTACCCCACCACCACCACCACCCACACTTTACCCCACCACCACCACCACCACCACCCACACTTTACCCCAGCACCACCACCACCACCCACACTTTACCCCACCACCACCCACACTTTACCCCAGCACCACCGCCCACACTTTACCCCACCACCCACACTTTACCCCACCACCACCACCCACACTTTACCCCACCACCACCACCACCACCACCCACACTTTACCCCACCACCACCACCACCACCACCCACACTTTACCCCAGCACCACCACCACCACCCACACTTTACCCCACCACCACCCACACTTTACCCCAGCACCACAGCCCACACTTTACCCCACCACCCACACTTTACCCCACCACCACCACCCACACTTTACCCCACCACCACCACCACCACCACCCACACTTTACCCCACCACCACCACCACCACCACCCACACTTTACCCCACCACCACCACCACCACCCACACTTTACCCCACCACCACCCACACTTTACCCCAGCACCACAGCCCACACTTTACCCCACCACCCACACTTTACCCCACCACCACCACCCACACTTTACCCCACCACCACCACCCACACTTTACTCCACCACCACCCACACTTTACCCCACCACCACCCACATTTTACCCCACCACCACCACCCACACTTTACCCCACCACCATCACCACCCACACTTTACCCCACCACCACCACCACCACCACCACCCACACTTTACTCCACCACCACCCACACTTTACCCCACCACCACCACCCACACTTTACCCCACCACCACCCACATTTTACCCCACCACCACCACCCACACTTTACCCCACCACCATCACCACCCACACTTTACCCCACCACCACCACCACCACCACCCACACTTTACCCCACCACCACCACCCACACTTTACCCCACCACCACCACCCACACTTTACTCCACCACCACCCACACTTTACCCCACCACCACCACCCACACTTTACTCCACCACCACCCACACTTTACCCCACCACCACCCACATTTTACCCCACCACCACCACCCACACTTTACCCCACCACCACCACCCACACTTTACCCCACCACCACCACCCACACTTTACCCCACCATCACCACCCACACTTTACCCCACCACCACCACCACCCACACTTTACCCCACCACCACCACCCACACTTTACCCCACCACCACCACCCACACTCTACCCCACCACCACCACCCACACTTTACCCCACCACCACCACCACTACCCACACTTTACCCCACCACCACCACCACCCACACTTTACCCCCCCACCACCACACGCGCTGCGCCATTCCCGATCACAACCACCACGCCCTGTCGTGAGCATCACCGTTAACACCATCATCACCACCGCCAACATCACCACCAACACTTCCACCACCACCGCCACACGTACCAGAGACGAGGATGTCGTTACGGAGGGCGCACACGGCGTACTCGGACTTGGTGAACTCGGGCAGCTTGGACAGCGACGTCCACTCCCCGGTGATGGGGTCGTAGCACTCCGTGTAGGGCAGGTTGAAGCCACCCACCCGCTCGCAGCCGCCCACGATCACGATCACCTCCGAGCAGCCCGTCGACCTGCGGCATGCGCGTGGCAAACACGGTCAAGGCGGGCGCGTGCGACGGCCAAACTAAAACGAAACCATTTTTAGTTTCAGCTTAGTTTTTTCGTTTTTCCGCGGCAACGTTATTCGATGCAGAGCCAATAGCCGTTGCTGCGAGGATGACCGGAGTTCGCATGACGGTTTATGCTGCTTGATGAGCTCAGCTATCTTGAACCTATATCCCTGCACTGTGAATTGCCCGAAGTTCCATGATGGCTATAATAATAATAAGATGGATTCTGGCTTAGCAATCATTGGAAGGATTTGATCAACTATTTCGGGTCTTAATTGATTGTTCACGCTTACGGTGGCTTTCAGACCGCATCCATTATTTTCGTCTCCCCCCTCCTCTTTTCCGAACATAGATGGACTCGTCCATCTGAACAAACTGCCAAATCGCTCTCCGTGGTGCTAACGTAAAAAATAAACGCCACTTTTTTCAAATTTTCTTGCTGTGGTTTTCACACCTGATGATGATTGCTTGTGTTGCAGTCGAAACGTCGTGAGAATTGTATTGTTTTATATATTTTTATCATTTTATTGTTTCCCTTCTACGTGACTTTACCGAAAGAACCAAGAATATGAATCCCTGCAGTCACGAAAGCTTTAAATCAAAAAAATAATCATTTTCGTAGATTCGGTGTTCGCAGCATTACTTTGGCGCGAGGTGCTGACACAAAATGGGTAGTGTCTGCCAATCGGGGTCATTGGCCCGGTTGCATTACCAAAGTAAGCAATTTGCACCCGTCCGCACTCGGCAAATTTGAACCGTGACTCCTGCACACACGCCCGGCTCCGTGTGAAACCAAGATCGCGGGGACCTTCAAACGTCCGCCGTGAAGCAGACGGCGTGTAATCACGGGCAACGAGCCGCACGGTATTAACCAGGGTGGCGGCTGGGACCGAAATCGAGAACCCCTCCAACAATTAGAAAATCGTGCTCCAGTTGGGACCCGTCGCCCCGCACGCCACCTTCACGCTGACACGCGTCCCATACACGTGTGACCCTCACGGGGTCACCTCCATCGACACGACGCTGAGGGGGAGTCCACCCACGTCCCATGGGGAGTTGCCCACCGAGAGCTGTTGCTGCGACGATTGAGCAACAAAAAATATTTCTATGATAAACCGGCCAACGTGGAGCTGAACCCTCTGGCCTTTGGCACCGCCCCGTGCAGCGATAAATTACTGATAACACACACCGGCCACGTCCCAAGGGCATCTCACTGGCTCTGAGACCCTCAGTGCCTGGCTTTGGCTTGACGCACACGTTCGACAGAATTCTAAACTGAACTAAAACAATTTATTTTGTATTTATTTTATTTTACCAGGTGAGGCCCCTTTGAGCTCCATAGCTCTTTTCAGAAGCGACCTGGCCACAAATGATAGCCCAATGAGGTGGCAATTCACGTGGACATTTATAGCAGCCAAATACTCTAAACGCACGATGTTGATTCTAAATGGAGGGAAAAACCGCGGGACCCAAAGAAAATCCACGCGACTACGGGGGGAGAGAGAGAGAAAACATGCAAACTAAAATATACAGGTGTCAGGGTTGGGATGGAACCCACGACCTCCTACATACCAGGCGATGTAGTTAACATCTCCAAGCCACCGTGGTGGCCCGTTCGAAACGAATCGGCCACTGCGTGCCGACGTCACAGTCCAAATTTTTTGCCACATTATAAAATTACTCCGCAAACTACTTGATCGGGGTCACAAACAGCGATCACCGCCCCCCCCCCCCCCCCCATACCGGCAGACTTAACGCCCGGTTGCGGGCCAAGTGCTGAATCACCTTGTTGCCGCACTGGGACAGCTGCCAATGGGGGTGCCCTCTGAGATGTTTAAGATGAGATACGGTGTCCGTCGCTCATTGCGTCCAGGGCACTGTCGAGACGCCCGGGCGGAAAGGAGGACGCGCGCTCTTATCAAAAAACTAAATGACGATCATTACCATCGTCGTTGTTAATAACGATACTTTAATTTAATACTTAGCGTCATTCATGCCAACAGCATGCCACAACGCTGTACATTAATTATATGTACACGGACCAAATCCTTGTACAGCGTGAAAGAAGCCCAACACACACACATACACACCAGGCAATTGGAAACCCTACGACCAAAACTAAATCAAAAACGAAAAAAAAACTAATTAAGAAATGGCACCAAAACAAAAAACGCAAACAACAAAAAAGTTATCAAAACGAATCCATGGGGTCGACTAGACATCCCAGAAAACAAACTTCCCAACCAAGCCAGCAAACCGTCACCTGCCGTAAGATAGTCCCCCCTCCTCCTTCCAACGAGGTTCTGTAACAGTGACGACGGCTCTACCAATTGGTTCTGCAACAGTGACGACGGCTCTACCGATTGGTTCTGAAACAGTGACGACGGCTCTACCGATTGGTTCTGCAACAGTGACGACGGCTCTACCGATTGGTTCTGCAAGTGACGACGGCTCTACCGATTGGTTCTGCAACAATGACGACGGCTCTACCGATTGGTTCTCCAACAGTGACGACGGCTCTACAGATTGGTTCTGAAACAGTGACAACGGCTCTACCGATTGGTTCTGAAACAGTGACGACGGCTCTACCGATTGGTTCTGCAACAATAACGACGGATCTACCAATTGGTTCTGAAACAGTGACGACGGCTCTACCGATTGGTTCTGAAACAGTGACGACGGCTCTACCGATTGGTTCTGCAACAATAACGACGGATCTACCGATTGGTTCTGCAAGTGACGACGGATCTACCGATTGGTTCTGCAACAGTGACGACGGATCTACCGATTGGCAAATACCACGAGCTCCCCGCCATTCACAACGCGCACCGACCGCGTCTCTACAATCCATCGGCGGCTGCTTCCAATTAACGCAAGTTTGCAATGAATTGAGTAATTCCTGAGAAATGCAATCATGCAATCCATCAGCCGAGGCAGGCACCTTTTGAAGCAACGTGCATTCCAGCAGCAATTTGCTTAAATGGGCAAACTCTGGGAATGTTTGCGACTTTCCGAAGCACTTACTCAATTTTGTGCCGTTGCATTGGCTCGGCTGCATATTTTTACAACTCGTGACAAACGCTGCGAATGGTTTTCCATCGGGGGTTGAAAGCCTTTAAGCTTCAGCTACGTCCGTCCGTCCGTCGGTCTGTAACAGGAGGGGGGCACGACAGTTCTCGTGGAGATGACGCAGTGCGAACCGAGCCGCCGTGCAAAGCCGCGCCGCTATTCAGAAGAGACCCTGGAAAAAACCGGGCACGTTGGTAAAAGTTCTCATGTCCGAAACACAAGCCCGAACGATGTACGCGCGCACGCGCGCACGCACGCACGCACGCACGCACGTCGAACTCCTTTGGCAACGTACGTAGCCAAACCATTGTTAATTTTGACAGGAGGCGCGGGCTCGTTTATAAACGCGCGCGCAAACCGTTGCCCCCGAGACAGCGACACGGCAGGTCCCGTGGCTGCGAACGAGTCGAAGCGCTTCCCGGAGAAGACCAAAAGGGGCGGAAAGACCTCATTAGAGAGCCCCCCCCCCCCCTTGTGTGGGTGTGCGGCGCCTTCAAACGTTCACATGCTGAGAGGTCCGGGGCCATGGAGGCCCGAACGGATTTATTTATTTTAATTCATTTCCCCCACGATGATCATTTTCTTGTCATGCGCATTTTCTCTTCCGTTGTTGTTCACGTATTCATCTTTTCGTTTTTTTTTTTTTGCCAAGTGGCGGTTTTGTTTTTTTGTATCCGCGTAAGGGACTGGTTTCACTGATGTGCAGCGTTGTGGAATGCGGTTGCATGAATGACGTGATAAAAAATTAAATTATTACAACGACAGCTCGAGCGCGAAGCAACGTGACCGGCCGTGCGCCACCACAAAACAGATTTGGAGCAGCACGCGCCCGCTCTCTCCCGAGACGTGTCCCTGCGATGGGCCCACCCGGCCTTCCTTGGCAACCGCATTTATTTGTTGGCTGTCCAAACGTCACCCTCCCCAAACAGCTCTGACAAGAGCCAAACCCGTGGCCGCGGGCCCTATCGGGGCTTTTCTTTGCTGGTAGATTCCAAAACAACACCAACAATGCCATCGTCTCATGCTTTTTATGAACTGCCGCTGACAAGGGCTGGATTAATTTAGTACCCACCCACTCCCCCCACCTCCCCCCCCCGCTTATGCCACGCCTGACGGGGGTTTCGGAGGCAAGCGACGGGGTAGAACTGTACAGTGCCAGGGTCCCAAAGCTCAGCGGGACCCCACAACACATGTTTTGGGATTTATTTAAAGTGACACTTTTGGTGATCTAGCACTGCCTAATTCACCACGGCCACTCGCTCACTCACCAGCGGTCAGTCACCTCCCTATCACTCCTCTACCGCTACTACTACAAATGCTACCATGGCCACTGTATCCGTGAACTGCACTCCTTGATCCGTCCACTCATGCTGAGGACTCGGTCTCTACCAGACACTCACAGTTTCGTCTCATCCATCACACTGTGTTCAACCACCACAACAACACGCACCCATTCACTCACTCATTCAATCACCAACTCACCACATTTCATGTCACAACACTCATCTTTCTGCTTACTCCCGAAGTAAACTTTTTCTTTGATCTATTACAACTTGGATTGCGGCTGTTTCTTGCTGGCACACTTTGCATTTTGGCTGATTGGGCTTGTGCTCGGAAACTGTGTTCAGAACAAAACGTCGTCATTTCACGAGTAAATACGGCGTCGGGGTGAACTACACAGCAGAACCTCTTGAAACTGGTTTTGAAAATGTAGTCATACACTAGGAAACCCCTCTGCCAACAACCGTGTTAATTTGGTCAAAGTTTACATTCGTTTTAGCTCGAGTCAAGCTGACTAAAGCTGTCAAACAACAATATATGTATGTATGTTGAACTTCTTTCGCACCGTATGTAGTCAACTGTGCTATTCAGAGGGGCGGGGGAAGGACAAC